AAATTATCGAAACATTCTTTCGATTTTTTTAAGTTAATTTAGGTTGCTTTTATATCCTGTAAGTAAACCGGCTGTAAAGGTCAAACTGAAAATATACTATAATATAGGGATTATAAAAACCCCATCCAGTTTTATTATCAATTAAACTCGAATATTGCTTTACGACGTAGTTACTTTTGATGGTTTCTGTTAAAATTTTGTTTTTTCCGTTGTCTTCGTGCGGGTTTTATTAAACAATTCAATTTTTGAATAAAAAAAAGCGATGCGGTTTTGATTCTTATCATATCATCTCATTTCCATATTTATTATTTAAGAGAGAAACGAAAATTCTCTCGAGTAAGCAGATGTGGTTTACATGCGGATCACGTAGATGAGAATGTTTTGAATTTCCGGTATATTTATTTTGTGTGATATCAATTTCGCATCATTTTCAAGGTAAACTTTAGTTAAGTCCTGACTAAATTAAACTATTTAATGGCATTCTCTCAAGGATGTGAAATGAGAAAGGAAACGTGCTGTTATGTAGGTCGATATTGATAAAGGCTCGAGAAGGTCCATGAATATGAAATGGTGAATCGCCTGTCTATCTGACGAACAGCCTTTAGATAATGGAAGACCCATGTCCAAGAATGAACCAGTGATGTGAAAAGGGAACTATATTTGAGAAATATACGCCTTCCGGTTTACCTAATATTACTCAAGAGAAACTTTGAAAAGGTCGCGAGGTTTGTTTACACTACGAAAATTGGGAAAACAACGGTTCGCGGTTGGTAAACTTCATTTCCTTTCTGAGGCTTCTCGAGAAAAACGGAAAATTGTTGCCGGAATCAAGGTTAAGCCCTCTCTTTTCTAACAAGCTGAGAGGGTCGGTCCTTAATTACGAATTCAAGGCGCTTTCTGACGGAGTTGGAAAAGCGCCTTCTTTTCATTCCCCAACCGTCCAAACGGAAAAAAAATTATTCAAAGAATGCTTTGAGATCCCTCGAATGTACTCTAATCTACCCTTATTTCCACATTTTCGGCGGAGATTATCTGTGCCCACAATCTCAAAATATTTTATAGTACCCGGCTTATTTTATAACTGCTAGGATACAAGATACAGCGAAAGCCCGGAGCATATATCCGTAAATATTGAATGATGGCATCCTCTTCCATTTCTCTGTTCGTATTTGCGTGTGTATCTCGATCTATCGAACGTATATGATACATGCCTTTGTAGCCGGAGGGATTTCATGAATATTGATATTTGTCCTATATTTATATCTCGAATCTTTTTTTTATTTCTACAAACACAATAAATTTTAAACATTTAAATTATGGCGGAGGCGCCGGATATAAATGATATCTATGATATCTACTTGAAGTATTTTTGTACAAAATTAAATGGGATGATATTTCATTTTTACGCCTCAGTATGTTTCACAAATACCGAAATTAGCATAACTTACCCTAGTTTGGTTCTATTTAGAATTTGCATATTTCACACGTTGCAGGATTCCAAAGATAGACATGCACGTATTAACATTTAAATTTGTGTGCGCTGCAAATGTTGGTTTTAACGCAAAAAGGGCACCTTTAGAAGTCGTCGACGAAACCGATTAAGGAAAAACGTCTTTTTATGTTCCACCATCCCGAACAAACAATACTCTCCCTATGGACACTTTTCCGTGCTTTTCAGGGTGAAGAGGTCTATCCCATAAACAACAGTAGCGTGTTCGTCGGGTATAAAAAAAGCCTGCCTGTTATTAGGACTCGTGGAAGGACAGTAATAAAGTTTTATTATTACACAAACCTTAAATATAAAAGGACACACACAAGAAGTACTTCTTTATGTTAAGGAATTCATGATCTATAAGATATTTTAATGGTAACCTAACACTAAATATTTGTGTGAAATTAACTTATTTACACTCTATTTTAAATTAAACGTCGTGGGAACGCTTGGTTTGGGGGAATCTTAAACATTCTGATCTAGTACATCTCCTTTAATACAATTTCCCTACTGTAAGAAGTTATTTATTTATTAAGAAAATTAATTATTTAGAAAATATAATTATTTCTTCTAGAAAATTCTTGAAATATATCTAGATGATCTAAATATAATTTGAATGTAGAACAAGAGACTAAGTTTCAGGATATCCTGAATTGAATTGATCTATATTCTAACAGGGAAGAAGTGGAGTTATTGTCGGATTATCTCCTGATTGCATTTGATGAGATAATCCCACTTGGCAACAACTTGTTCACGTAACAGAAACAACTTTGGTAATTGCTTTAATAGGAATTTGTGAATGTTGTGAAGTCAATCTTGGAATTAAATCTGAAGAATTCGATAAAGAGTAAATGGAAAAAGCAATCCAGCAAGTTTTTTTTACAACCTTGATATTGCAATTGATTGTTGAGATATTCTGAAATAAGATGAGGTGTAATCATAATTTAATAAATGAAATATATTCGTTGCATGGTGCAGAAACCATCTTACGTATTATATTTGCTGAAACATTTTTGTGGCACAACCTACAGGGGATGGAAATAATCAGTCTTATTCTGTAAAAAAATTTAAATGACGTTCATATGACCGCTCTATAAATGCGCCACGTGTAATCTCATACGAGGAACCTCTCGGATACGAATTTAGCTCGAATTTACGATTTTGTTTTCGTTACAAAACGAAATTCGAAAAATAATCGTCCTTAAAATTTTAATAACATTAAGTTGTTTTATTGTACAAAGCTCCGAATTAGATCTTGAACATTTCGGTTCAGTACATCTCCTTTAAGAGCACATACCCATATCCCCATTTATTTAACAAGACATACGTCTTATGTGAAATGTCTCATATCGAATACATTTTTAAGGCGCACCGGTTTCAAAATGGCTTTCGTTTCACCCGTGGGATATAAATTTTAATTTTTTAGACGTGGTAAGGCGTCGTGCTGAAATTTCATAACAAAATTTCGCAAGGGGAAAGAAAAATAGACGCGCTCGTTTTTTCCTTATTTTTGTTATTGTCTTTTTTTAAAGGAAAAGAAGTGAATGAAATTGTTGCAGTGGGAACTTTCATTAAAAATTTCTTTTATATTACCAACAGCAACATTTTTCTTGAATATTTATGTTTATATCAGGTGCGTGTTATATAATTTACAACGGTGGTGGTTATTAATTTCCCAATTAACGTATTTGCGAATGAACCCTCTTTACATGACCCGCGGCGTGTTTGTACTAGTTCTGACCGCGTAATGAACACGTAGCTTTATTAGGTTAGATGGTCCCTGTACGGTTTCCATAAATTAAAAAAATGGAAAAATGCAATGAAACCCGACGTAATTAACTGATTTAACCGATTCGTTTCTTTACTAACCTTTTTTCATTTCTTTTTTATGTATTTATTTAAAATAAAAAACGTTTTTGCGTAAGTCCGTTTCGATTTTTATGAACTTGTTAGAAACAAACAAGAATTGTTACTGTAGTTTTGCGTCACCATCTTTTTTATGTGTATCAAAAGTGTGGTAAACACAACGGAATTAAAGCGGGCTCTAAATATACTTCGATCGGTTTACGTTTTCGCTTCGACTTTATAGTTTTCGTCCCGTTGTCTGGCTATTTATAGTGTACGGGAAACCACTTTGCCCGAATTATACAACTTCTAATTACGACGTAGACAACGGTTGTGCAAACTTGAGAACCGCATAGTTTAATCTAATATTGTTCTATTCATCGAACCGAATAACAAACATACTATTGTACATACATACAATTCGTTGAACCTAAAACTGTTAACGATAAAACACACCCTCGTTGTAAACAGTTTTAATATTGAGTATATCTTTTCATAAATCGTTCAATTTCAATCAAATGAGGGGCGTTACTAATAACGAACGACGTAAGAAGATTGAGTCCTAAACTAATCTTAGTTTATTGGTTTTCCTCTAAAAGCAATTGCGAACGATGTCCGTTTTATGAATCACGTACAATGTTATCTTTATAGACAATAAATTTTCAAGGATTGTTGACTATTTATAACTAAAATTACATTTGTAAATTTTGTGTTTTAGGAACTTGAGGAAAATGTTTCAAAATTATGCCAAAACGTTTTTAAATCTTCATCAAAATTACAAATAATCTATCAATATTTACGAATCTAGTCCGATTTTTTCGTTTGATCCTGATGGTTTGCGTTATGGCTACTCTACAGGAACTGATGTAAGGTAAATGGCTTTGGGCTATCGATTGTCTCATTATTCGAATGGGCGAGGTATTACACAAGATCGAAGTATGTCTGAACATACTCTGCGAGTTTCTGAAAGGTAAAATGGTTTTTTAACTTACCAATGTGGACTGCCTGATAGTCTAATCCACACCCGACGTTTTCTTTAATATCAGGTAGGCAGTAGAGTTTGTTTTGGCACTTCTTACGAATTGTTGGGTATTGCAATCTAACCCAGTCTTAGCATACACGACTATGTAATTGTCTAAATTAGTTACATTGGTAGTAACTTTAAGGCAGTACTCATTCATTGCAAACTTTTCCCTTAAGGCACATGGCAATATCTGATCCCAATATGTAGCTAACTAAGTCTTCCAAACCCCATTCCTTTCCTTAATTTAATTTTTTTTGATATTATTTGAAACTATGACAGCATTGGTAACCATTTCTTCACTTTCGATCTTTCCTCAAATCATGACCATGCTATCTCCTGTGTCTCCTTCCCCTAATGCTTTTATAATCCTTGTTTAAAGGAATTATGCGTCAAATCAAATACTAATTTAGTTATTTTTGATTTGAATACCATTGATTTATTTTCAAATTAAATTCAGTTTTATAATTGAGAAAATCAACTATAAAAAGCTTTAACTTTCTTTGAATATGCATGTTGGTAAAACCTGGCGAAAGCTTAGAGCGGAACTGTTCCGATTTAAAATTAAAATCGCCTTCAAACTTCCCAACCCGGAATACATTTCAAGATTTTCATATTCCATCATTTTTTTTCTGTTTGCAGATTAACGGTCTAATTTGCCCACTAACAGAGTCCTGCTTGAAACCCCACAGATGCGTAATCCAGATACCATGTGATCATATGGCTTCAACGGCTGCCCTAAAATGCAGGGTGCATGATGTACCCCATGCCACAAAACCAGCGGGGAAATCAGCAGGTGCAGCAAGCGCCACCTCAGGTGCAACCGTTGCAAATCTTGCAAGTTAGCCAACCGCCATTAAAACATCCTCAACCACCAATTAGAATTCAACAAATTCAACAACAAGAAAAAATACAAGTTCATCATCAACAACAACAAAACAAAAAGTTGAAACAAAGAGAGGTTAAAGAAGAATTACAAGAAACCAAGGAAGAACAAGACTGTAAGGAAAAAGAAGAGGGGGAAGATCAAGAGAACCAAAAGGCTAAGAATAGGACTTTGTTTAAGAGGTTCTATAATTACGTCAGGGAAGCTTGGACTGGCGTAAAGTCAGCATTAGGTAAAGGATTTTCAGATTTTCAGTTTCATATCGGACGTCGTTCAGTGAAGTTCGAAATCGTTTATTAAACTTAATAAATAACTTGTGTGGGATTCGTTGAGATGAAGCTGTTGGCTCTATTGAACGGTAACAAAACAAATTTTTATGAAAACACGGTTTTCCATCATCTCGCGTTGTTAAAAATACCTCTTTGTTTAGATTTTCCGCGTTTTTCCATTGGGAATTTTTATTTCGACACCGAGGGCTGTTTACTTGACGAGGTTTTGTTGTCGGTGTCCGCCTAAAATTAATTATACTTCACGTTTGTATCTCAAAGCCGCATTTCAGCCTCTACTTCATGCGGTTTATCCATTCCAACATTTCCTGTGTTTATTTGTAATTTAACCGATCGAAATCCGTTTACCCGACCATGCGTAAACACAATTTGTATTAATTTAAAATATTAAAGTTAAACACAACGCAAATAATGGTTCATAATCTATAATGTTTTAGGTTTAATTAGGCTTTAATCGTGTTTTCGTTTTCGAAAAATAATAGTTTGTTAATTTATTTGGCAACACTTCAATGTTTATAATTTATTAATAGCTAAGACACGTTTGAAAATTATTTAAAGGAATCATTCAAAATTAATATATCCGAAACTAAAAGATATTTTGAAAATCCGTTTTTTTCGTTCGAAAGCATATAATTTGTACTACAAATGCTGGTAATTTCATAATGATTTATTTAAATTCCAATTTATTACGGTTTTTTGAAATTGAGTGAAAATAGTTGGTGGGGAACAATTTTTTTTTAATTTCCTAAAAAGTTGTCATAAATTATTATTAACGTTTATTTTTCCTCCAGCGTATAAATGTATAATAAAAAATCCAATATTATTTTTTAATTTTCCTCCCGTTTCAAAAGTTAGAATCAATAAATCAATAGATTTTTATGAATAATTTTTGGTGTACAACGTAGTTTTAGTTCAAATTGGTTCGTGTTGGTGTGTTTCCTCGTCCAGAAAAAATAAAAATTGTTATTCGTTTACTTTCCTATTTGAAAATACGCCGCCGATATAAAAAAAGCCCCAAAAAGTATAAAAAAAGCAACCCCCGTTCTAAAGGTAAAAATTTCCATACGATAAAGTCGCGGGGATGCACCGAAATGGAAACTCCATTATTCCCGTTTATGTACGCGAGTGCAGATCGATAACATTCGGCCGACAATGTAATTCGATTGTCCGAACCCTATCCACGAATTACACACGACTTTTCCCATTTCAAAATACTGCCGGATTCGAAACATTTTAAATCAGCTGCAAAACAAGCATCGTAAACCTTTAAAGTTTACGTGATTCGATGTTAACGTCTCATTCTTGATTTATTATTTTTTTCTTTTATTTTTATAGATTCAGAATTAGAAGATCTGGAAACTCCGCCTAGATATAGACCAGATAGTTTAGAAGCTTTGTGTAGGGCCACGAGATTTACCCAAGCTGAAATAAAGAGGATATACAGGGGGTTCAAGGCGGAGTGTCCCACGGGAGTCGTCAAGGAAGAAACATTCAAGATGATTTACGCTCAGTTCTTTCCACAAGGTGGTAAGTCTAAATCTATTTGTTCGCTTTTATTTCATTATTTCTTACTTTTCTTTTATTAAATATTATTTGAAGCTCCTTTAATTTATTTTTTTTTAATCTACGGTGCAGTGAACCCTGAAATCGTTAAAATGAAACCCAACTCGGCGTTAATTCTCGACGTTAAATTGGTTTCGCAACTCGGATTTCAGCTAAAAAAGTAATTCACTTTTAAACAGGAAGTTTATTTCACAATCCCGACACCGAAAGCGATTATACTAACACATATTGGAGAATCTTTTTGTGTTGCTATTAAATTTTTCTATAATAACGAATAATTCTTCGATGACAACAAACTGCGAATGCAATTAAAATTTTAATCAAGTGCAATAACCGCAGATGAGAGAATTCCCAAGGAATTTAGTTTCACGCCTGGCACGTGAATGGTATAGATGTTATGCTAATTTACAGACAAGGACCTAGTTCAGTTTATTTCAGCAATAATACTGCGGAATATTTATTTAAATTAAAATTGCGAGATAACTCATAATAATTATTTATGTAGCTTAATGAAAAGAAATTTTAAAATGAGAATTTAAAAATGGGGGGGCGTTATCTATATTTTTCGGCTACAAAATGGCATTTATCAACATCGTTTCGCTGTCGGGCATTAATCTGTTGTTGTTATGACGCAAACCGAACGGCCTAATTTTCAACGAAACATTATTTTTTACGACATTCGAGAATAAAAAAAAAACGATGAAGTTTGACAAATTGCGGTGCGATATCGAAACCATAACGAATCGATTTAACTTGTAATGACAGTTTTTGGACAATATTGCGAAAATAAAACCCAATATTTCTTTCCATCCTTCAAGTTTTCCAGTTTTCCATTGAGGATTGCCATTTAAGTGCAACCATCAACTGTTAACTTTTCATAACTATACAATACAATAGAAAAGAAAACAAAGTTGTAGAAAGAAGTTTTCGTTTCCAGTTTAAAAATTGTTTTCAAACCGATATAATAGAGAAATAATTGGGTGTGTACAAAAAAATAAACAAGAAGTTTTTAATATCTTAAAAGTAGACGAAATTCTTCAATAATAAATATTGAATTGAAACTGAAACTACGATTCTACCACGTCTACTGAATTGTTGAACGACATGAAAGGGTAATGAAGGTGCCACCAGACGACATTTCCGGTCACACATGAATTTTACATTCTCGGTCCACCTCTTTTGGCGTCGTTTGAACTGTACATTTTAACATTTAACAATTCGACAAGTTGAATAAGAAATTAGAAGTAAATTTTGAAGTTTCATTCATCTTTGTGTATAAGATAGTATGCGTTTCATACTTTCTATAAGATATTGGTTGATAATATTATCTATAATAATAATAATCTTTATTATCCCAACGGATTATAGTCCAATAAAGGGATAATGTTACAATAACCAGATAATTGATTCCAACAAAAAAAAACAAACAAATAAAGTAGAAAAAAAATTTTAAAAAACTGTCATTCGACTGAATTAGCTGCACGCATTAGTCTGTTAATCGGGGAATTTAGACCTATATACGTGTTAGCGCAATTCGGCATAAAGCCATTACAAACACGTGCATTAATCCGCGGCACTCACACATTCAATTGTGCCAAGACTTCCGATGCAAGCAGCACTCCCGACATCACATCCTCCACAAACTCGGCAGGCAGCACTCATCTTTGATTCTCAAGAGTCTGGATCACTAGCCGATGTTCTGTCGATATGTTCAATAAAGGACAAACCATCATCAAACCATACTCCAAGATCTTTCGCTATTCAGATACGTGATCCACTCCAAGCACATAATCAAAGTGTGATGTTACGTTTCTGACTGTATGTCATTACTTGGCATTTGGAGGTATTTAAGGTTAATTTGTTCTCAGAACACCACAACTAAAGTCTGTCTAAATCTAACTGGAGTAACTCACAATCCTGCTCACAAAAAATAGCCTTAAACAGTTTCAGGTCGTCTGTGTATAGGAGTGAATTTTTAACTCAACGTATTGTCATAAGATACCAGAAGTCATGTGAGAAAGTGATCACAACCATGGTCTAACTTGTGAAACTACGAATTCTTCCAATTTTTATATTTTCGAATATTTCTCTACATTGATGCATCTGCGGGCAAAAGTGTTACAGAGCAATGTAAAGGGTAAAATTTGCTACAACTTTCATTCTAAAAGTTTTTTTGTACAATATATTATATATATATAGGTTGGCTCCAGGTTGGCCTCGATTATCTTTAACAGTAGGCCAATTTGAGTCGTAACGGAGTAGTAAATCTTATGAATATATAGTAGAACCACAATCGTTTGCTCTTTTCTTTTCTGGGTAAGTTCAAATGTGTTAATAAGATTTGTTGCATCGGATAAAGCTCGTCTACATTCTCTGAATTCTTCGAATTCAAGTTGATTCTTCGGAATCTTCCTTTCTACTTTTTCTTACAGTCGTTCCGTAATCTAATTTCCGTAATCTTTTCTCAACCCGGTTAGGAGACTAATCGCATCTTCAGTGTCTTGATTCAGATGCCATCCATTCTTGCCACTTCTCTTGTTGTCGTAACTTAGCCTTATCTTTCTACAACTAATCGATTCTTTTTTTGCTACCTCCAGATAATCTCCAAATGTTTTGCAATGTATACAGCAAATAATACTCGTTATGTACTTTATATCTACTTTATAAGCATAATAATTAATTGTCTCAAATTAATTAGTAATGGTGTGGTGGTGAATTGATCAAACGGTTTCTCAACATGAATCATATCCAGTTTGACAGTTGATGTACCGCTTTCATCCATCAGCAAGAATATATCTGTAATTAATCAAGATGTATAGGCCTAAGTGTCCACGGGGCAAATAACGGATCATTTCCGTTTGTTTTTGCTCGGTTTAGCGAGAAATTCGCCCCGACAGTAAGGACATTACGCTCTCAACGTCGCCGTAGTTGGAATAAAATACACGGCGCACGCTAAATGCATAATCGATAATGGCTTTTTCAATAAACTTCCCCCATTATTCATCTAGAGACGGAAATGCGCCTCTTCTTTATACCACCCGGTAATATTAATTATAATCATTTTTACATTGATCTCATAATCAATAAAACAGATTAAGTCGAATGTTTAAATTTTTTTTCGGGATACTTTTGTTCATAAAAAAAAATCGCACTTTGATTGATTGAAAAGTAATTAAACGTGCTCGAAACATTCCGGTAAACATCTCGAAGCTCGGGTCGTTTTTTATCGAGGGAATTCCTTTAAATTAGAACCGGAGTCTCATTACCGGGTGGAGAAAGAAGAACTTTCAGACGAACGCTTTGCGAAAGTTCGCCCCTAATTTCGGGGCATCAATTGCCTACCCTTAAAGTCTCGTCTCGGTTCTATCTGCCAAATTGAATTACGCTCCGCCCAGCGTCGATTAAAACTTCTACTTCCAGTTACGGGCAGGTGATCCAAACTGAGCTCGAATAATCGCCCCATCTGGCGGTAATAATTCATCGGTGTGTCGTAAATTCCGGATTTTTCCGGGTGGTGTCAACGCCACCACGACCATAAATTAATTTATGGGTAAAAATGTTTTGAATTTTTGAATTTTCACGCGAGGATATTCCAGAAAATGATTGACAACCGACAAATTACCATTACGTTTTGTTTCGAAAAAAGTTTCCATTAAAAATTGAAAGAAACCAGAATTGTTCCAAATTTAAACAAGAAAATATGAAAAGGATAGGGTTATTTTTTGCGTACCTATAAAATAGAACTGGTAATGTTAAAAATACCCTTACTGTAAATATTTGCGCCCCTAAGGTCGTTAAAGTTGGGATGCGAGCTTCAGCAAAGGCCGGTGGTAAACAAACAGCTGATGTTATACGTAAAGGAGTCTGGGACTTAATCGATTTTTCTACCGCCCAACCTATTACACCTCATTAAAGCGACATCCACTTCGTTAGTTCTCTGAAAAAGGAGGGTTGCGATGTATATCTTATAGACGCTTTTGGGATTACAGAAATGATCCCCTAGGTAATCTTCAATGTTTTTTATAACGCTGATTAGAATTCTCGTTCCTTTCTTGTGTATCGATATTTTCAAACGACCTCCGCGTTTATTTTTATCCCCCTTCTAGATGGGGATAAAGAAACGGAATCATCCATCGGGACCAATACAAGTTGCGGGATTGTTTCGAATAGAAAATAAATCAAAGAAATGTCAAAATAGATGTTTTTGATGAATGGATATTTTTTGGCAAGATTTTACTTGTATCAAGATTCTAATTTTCTCGTTCTTTATAACTGAATCTAAAACTGTAAAGCCACGTTCTCTAAGATAATCCCGAAGTTGCATCGTTCCCATTTCGAAGCAAATGAGTGCGATAATCCGAACCGCGATAGTCACGTAATAAAGTGAACAGCTGGCCTGAAGGCGTTCCCGGGAACCAATTGAACATGCGATTTGAGTATAATCGTGGAAGCTTTCATCCCGAAACTCCGGCCAAGTTTTTAATTTAAAAGCTGACGGTTGCATAATCCCATGCTTATTCGGCCCTGGAAAATTGGAAGCGAAATGTAAAATCGTGAAAAAAAAGCATTTCAATTTGAGTTTATTTTACCAACCATCCTATTCTATTTTTTATTTGTTCCATCGTACCTTTAAAACGTCCACTTTATGATACTCCAAAAATAACGAAATCCTTTTATTTTCTTGTAGCCAATACCAGCCAATACGCCCACTATGTCTTCAATACTTTAGATCAGGATCACAGCGGCTTAATAAGTTTTGAGGTAATTTTATTTTTCGACCAAAAGTACGATCAACTTTTTTTTAATCTATTTTATTTATGTCACAGGATTTCGTTCAAAACCTTTCAGTTTTATCGAGAGGGAGTTTAGACGAAAAATTAAGGTGGACATTTAATCTCTACGACATCAATGGAGATGGATACATTACAAGAGAAGAAATGACCGATATTGTATCTGCCGTTTATGATCTTATGGGAAAATTAGCTGAGCCGTGTATCGATGATGATACTGTAAAAGAAAAAGTAGAAAGGATATTTCAGGTATGTATCATAAATTATGTGATAAAATAAACTTCCTTATTTACGCTTCTTTTTTTATTTCGAACATAACAGTATTTCTCCTAGCTTAATCGAATATTCCCTAAAGGCTTCGGGTTTGCCCGATTATTTCCTGCATCTCTACCACCCCGCTGGGCATTCGTCTCGAATATCCATTCCAGACAGATATCCGTAGTCGTTCAGTTATATCCAAAGTTGGATATTGTCAGCACCGGTAATGGTCTTGTTCCGGAATGATTCTTTTTACATCACATTTATCAGGAACATATATCGTGGTCCCGATAAACCTAAATAATTATAATTATATAGCTGTTCCTCAAGGGAGATTCCATAAATTATCATAAGTATGCACCAAAACCACTATGAAGTACTACTACGTGTTCAGATAAAGTTCATTATTTACGCTTTTTATTTTATTTGGAACTGTTTATAAAAGTGGTACAAGTTTTTCATCACTCCCATAACAGCATTTCGCCTAGCTTAATGGAATATTCTCTAAGGGCTTCGAGTTTGCTCCGATTATTTCCTGCATCTCGACCACCCCGCTGGGCATTCGTCTCGAATATCCATTCCAGATAGATATTCGTAGTCGTTCAGTTATCTCCAATGTTGGATATTGTCAGCGCCGGTAATGATCTGTCTTGTTCTGGGATGATTCTTCCTACATCACATCTATCAAGAACATATATCGTAGTCCCGGTAAACCCGATATAATTATATAGCTGTTCCTCGAGGGAAACTCCAGTATTGATTGGAGAATATCTTATGCCTTCATCACTAATTTACAGTCACAGTAATAATAAGGATCTGAAGAAAGGATTTAAAGAACACTTATAATGAAGGTTGTTGAAAGTTGGGGAGAATAGTCTTGCTTCGATGTTCGTGCTCTTGAACAACTGTATGATGGATGGATTCGAGGTTCGCTTTTAGACGACTATGAATGGTGTAGATGAAATATGTTGTACTCGATGGTGTGTTCTGCTCGCTACGCTGCTAGTTGCTTCAACATCATTTTAGTTTCAGGGTATTGTTCATTTTTGCAATGTTTGGACATATTTGGACTTTCTCCAAATTCTTTTCCTCTACACTTAACTCTTGCAACTCATCTTTCGGTTGTTATCATCCTCTAGTATGTGATCCAATTCAGGACCTCATTTACTCTTTGTCAGAACGAAATACTTTCTCATGGTCATTGCTGCTCATTGCAGAAAAAATTATGTTTATTGTTAAAATCAACAATAAAATAACCTTATCTAATATATAAATTATGTCTTTTTTTTTTTCTTATAGAAAATGGATAAAAACCAAGATGGTGTTGTGTCATTTGAGGAATTCTTGGACTGTTGCCAAAAGGACCAGGACATATCCACCTCGATGACAGTGTTCGATTCGTCAATTTGACGTTCAACCGTCGATGTTCGAGTGCCCCCTATCCCATGGACTTGACCGAACGTCGACAGACTGGCTAAAATACGTGAAAGAGCCTCTACAATATAACGTTATATAACAAAAATGAAACTAAAAAAATATTATAACAAAAATCGACCAAGAACTAACTAAAAATAAATAAAATACGAGAGCAGCCCTTTTAAACGAGTGCTGCCACCCCCGTTAAACAAAAGTGATAAGAATCGACACATTTTAATTTGTTTTATTTTGATTTGTTAAAATAAAAAAATGTTTTATTTGATTTTAAGGGAGAAAATGCGATGATAATAAGGGAAATGATAAAAAGAGGAAGTTCGGAATCAGAAAACAGTTTTTTATATAATCTGTAGATAGAAAGAGATATTTATGAAATAGATATTTATATTTTAAATATATAGAGGTTATTAAAAATTATAAACGGGTGATGTGAAGTCGAATTTTAATTTTTTTTTAACGAAGTAATTTTTTTCAAACATAAAAACACAAAAACCTAAGCTGATCTTAGCAACCTTTAAAAATTTCCATTTCAAAACTAAAATTAATGAAAAAATACTCTTCTCATAGCTTTATATTAAAAGACAAAAATAGACTTTAAAATTGTTCTTATAGAATTATTAAAAACAAAGCGTTATCCTTAAAAAATCTAATAGTACATTGTATATCTTCCAAAAAAAATTCTTTAATGTTATTCTCCTTTTACAATAAAATTTCTATATCGAATAAGCATTTGTAAATACTTTCAAAATCAAATTTATAATCTACACACGAAGAAAAGACACAACACAATACACTATTAAATTTTTATGTATGTATTTATTGTTATAAAAAAATTTTGATTTATTTTTTTGGTTATTTTGGTGAAATAAAAGATTTGAAACATATCTAAAAAAAAAGAAAAAAATATGGAATTAAATGCACCAAAAAATTCTGAAATATATGAAATATAGATATATTAAATTTATATTTATTATAAAAATTTATGAGTATATGTCGAGGTAATAATGTTAAATCTGTATTTTTATAACAATACTAGATTAAATTGTTTTGAAATTTTTCTCATTCTATTTATATTATTTGAGATATATAACGTTTTAAAACAACATTCAAAGTGAATCAAATACACTATAATGAAGTAAAAATTAAAAAAAAAAGGGGATCCCGGGAATGGTCATCAAGTATACGAAGATATTAAGTATTAAACACTTAATCAGTCCCAAAAGGAGGTACCTAAATTATTCTGACAACCCCGTCTATATAGAATTAAGTAATTATTGTTTCAATCTGTACCAATCGCATCATGCAACTAACATTGAATCGTAGGAAATGATGGGGCTAGATTATCTTACTGAAAGTACTCGGATGTTATGATAAAGAGGTTGCAATAAAATTCTGCAACATATCTAGGTAAGAATCCTGTTACAGTCTAATCATTAAAAAGTATGGACCAAGTACTTGGAGATTTTCTATACCCTAATTATCAGCATGAGATCATATTGGCCATCTTGTTCGCAAAACCGTGATATTTTTTTTCTCTAAACAAACTGTTTTACCCAATCTGTCACCCTCGTTCTCAAGCAGGGAAAAACTTTTTGTACTTTGGGGAATAACAACTATGCAAAGTGTTTAGTAATTCTAGTATATTAATAAAAATATCTTATTGATTTTCATTATTACAGCGACATAATAAATTATACTATTTGTACATCTTATATACGTACCTAAGGAAGTTATTTTTTATCAACTTAATCCACCACAAAAATAAAATTTTTACAAAAAAATCTATAACCTATTAAAATATTCGGTGTTGAATCGTTATAAATCTTAAGACGTTATTCGGAAACACAGAGTAATAATTAGTAGATGGTAGTTATTTGATGTTGCTTCTTCATTGACATAAAAATTTAAAATAATATCCCCTTTAAAAAAATATTTCAGAATTTTTTGTTAATTTTCTTCGTTCTAATTTCTTTTCAACCAAATAAGAAACATTTTTTCACGAGCGTCAGCATGGTGCTAATAACTTAATAAAAAAAGTAAAAAATCTTATGAATAAAACTCATAATACTCAATAATTCGAAAATCTGGTGTAGCATTTAAAAAGTGCCAAAAAAGCGTTAAATAAATAAAGAAATCTATAAAATTTTGTGAACAGCACGCTTAAGCTTTTGGAAAACGTTCGTTTTGCAGCCATTCGTTATGAAAAATATGAAGCGATAAAGATTGAAGCAAAATAGGACAGAGACAATATTTGTACCAAATAGATTGGCTACTGAGGACCCTTGTAAAGACGACCAAGAACTTTAGACGTTGATGTTTTAGAATTTTAAATAAATAAAAATAAGGAAAAAACGATTTTTGGGTGTACGATTAAATGTTAAAACAAGCAGACTATATTATGTAAATAAGTCCAAGAAAACGTTGCGTGTAAATTATTTATGTATAGGAGAAATTCTAAAAATATATTATGATGAAAAAATTTGATTTTCATTTCAACACTCAAAATAATATATACAACCCAACATACACCACTTTTAAAAACACAACTTGATTACAATTTTTAATACAAATAAAACAAGTTAACCAAAAACTTATTTATTTAAAGAAAATAACCTAAGAATTAATTAATTATTAAATCATATAAAAATTCATTATATTTTTGAATTTGCAATAATATTTTTTTAAAATCTACCAAACATCAATTCTATTAAACCGGTAAAGTTTAATCGATCGAATACGTCAACGTGACATTTAAACGTCAAACAAAAAATGAGTGATTCAAGTGAAGAGGAAGTTGAAACGATGAAATTCGTATTTTATCGTGATAGACCTGAATGGAAAGATGTAGAACCGATACCCCAATATGACGGGGAAGATCCCGTTGTATCAATAGCGTACTCAGAAGAGTGTAAGTTACATTTTTAAGTACATAACCTCAAAAAATTAATTCCGTCAAAAACACACCCAAAATAAATAATTTATTTTTTATTTTAATTAGTTGTTGATGTCTATAATTATTTGAGAGCGATAATGAAAATGGAAGAAAAATCAGAAAGGGCTTTAGAATTAACGGAAGACGCTGTTCGTTTGAACCCGGCTAATTACACGGTTTGGCAGTATAGAAGGGTGATTTTAAAAGCTTTAAATAAAGATTTAAAAGGGGAATTGGCATATATTGAAAGGATAATAAAAGGGAATATGAAAAATTATCAAGTATGGCATCATCGAAAGGTTTTAATTGAATGGTTAAACGATGGTTCACAAGAATTAAATTTTACAAAAAAGATTTTGGAAGAGGATGAAAAAAATTATCATGCTTGGCAACATAGACAATGGGCAATTAAGACTTTTAAGTAAGATGTTTTCATTACATTTGTAACAAAAATTTTACAATTTCAATTTTAGTTTATACGAAAATGAATTGGAATATATTGATTCATTATTAGATACTGATATTAGAAATAACTCAGCTTGGAATCAACGATATTTCATTGTGAATAATACAACTGGTTTTACGGAGGATGTTTTAAAACGTGAAATTGCTTATAGTTTAAACAAAATTCGGATTGTTACTGAAAATGAAAGTGCTTGGAATTACTTAAGAGGGTAAATACGAATTTTTTTAATTAATTTTTAATAAATGTTATAACTTTTTTAGTCTTCTTCTACATGATAAAGCTGGTTTAAGTAAAAACGGCGATGTAGTCACCTTCTGCCATGATTTATATGCCTCAGGAAATCGTTCTCCATTCCTTTTAGCTTTATTAGTTGATATGTATGATGAGCAAGTCTCTAAAGAAGCAGGAGATTGTGCCGTCGCCATGGAAAAAGGAGTTAGTCTCTGTAAAGATTTGGCAGAAAAATACGACACTATTAGGTGCACGTATTGGAATTATATGGCAACAATGATTGAGAATAAATTAAAAATTAATGAAGAAACACCAGGGACCAGTGCCAATTAATAAAAATCATTTTACTTTTTATTAGGCTTTTTCCATTGCTTTTTAATAATCTTTAAGTATCAAAGCGCATTTAGTTTTGTGCCTGTTAGTCTTTATCACGCTGAATTTGTGATATTTATTCATTAATTAGAGATAAATATGATCTTTTTGTGTCAAATTGTGAAATTAATTAAAAATATTCAATATAATTTTGAACATTTAATTCAAAATTCTACTTTTCGTTTTCCTGGTAGTTATACTTTTATATTAATATTTATTGAAATTATTGTTATTGCAATATCGAATGTTTATTATTATGGCAGTGAATGTGTTAAAGTACAGATTTCGTTACACAAAAAGGTTCCTATAATCTTCTTTGCCTTCCTTGCATAGATGTCGCTTAATTCCAATGAAAACTCCATAGAAAAATTAAAAATATTTTATTTAACCATTAAAATCTTAATATATAAAATAATTTCGATAACGAAACGTTTAAAAACATATACAAATATCTACAATATTGTTTTTAGGTAATGGGGCAAAAATTTTTCTAAGATTGCTTTCGATGTAAATTACGAGTTAGTTGACGTAGGAATAAAACTAGCTTTAAATACATTATTCCTAAGGTCTTAATTAAGGGGAAGCGATTCGTGAAGCCACGTACATTTCCCACCATCGGCAAAATCGGCGGCGGCATGACCATCTTCTGAGGTCAGCACCCATTTGGTGGTCAAAAGACCTTCAACTCCAACGGGACCTCTAGCGTGAATTCTGGCAGTACTTATACCGACTTCAGCACCTAATCCAAATCTAAAACCATCGGCGAATCTTGATGAAGCGTTATGGAATACGCAAGCACTGTCGACTTTACGTTGGAAATCTTGAGCTCTCTCTCCTATTTAAAACAAAAATGTTATTAATTAAATTAATCAAAAAAATACTACTAAAATCTTACTATTTTCGGTAACAATAACTTCAGTATGACCACTTCCATAAGCATGAATATGATCAATAGCCGAATCAACATCTTTTGTTACTTCAATACAACATTCTAAAGCGCCATATTCATGTTTCATCGATTTAGCTGGTGGTGGTCCAAAAGTAAGAAGTTCGGCAAGTCTTGGTCCAGAATTAATTTTAACACCTTCCTTTTTCAACATATTACAAACTTCAGAGAAGAAATCACCTTCCATTAAGTCTTGATGAATGAGTAAAGTTTCCATAGCATTACAAGCAGCTGGATAATCACATTTAGCGTCACGGATAATTCTCAAAGCTTTTTGTAAATCGGCATCTTTGTCAATGTAGACATGGCAAATACCTTCAGCGTGTCCCATAACTGGGATATGTTGACTTTGAGATTGGATGCTTCTGACTAATTCGCTGGATCCACGTGGAATGATCAGATCAATATGTTGTTCCATGGAGAGTAAATCCCCGATTTCTTCGCGGGTTGAAATTAAAGAAATCGCGTTGTTTGCTCCAACGGTAGCTAAAGCTTCTTTTACGAGTTCCATAAGAGCTCTGTTGCTGTGAGCAGCTTCTTTACCACCTTTAAGAAGTAAACCATTACCGGAAGCAATGGCTAAAGCTGCTACTTGGGGTAAGGAATCCGGTCTGGATTCGAAAATAACCATCAAAACACCAATGGGAACTGTAATTTGTTTTAGTTCTAAACCATTAGCTAATTTGGTTTTTCTCAAAACTCTTCCTACGTTATTATGACTGTCATCTGCGATTTGTTTCAAACCAACAGCTAAATTCTTAAGTTTAGCTGGTGTTAATGAAAGTCGAGATAATAAAGGTTTAGCTAAACCTGATTTGGTGGCTTCGTTTAAGTCTTTTTGGTTTGCATCGAGAATTTCTGATTGTTTCGAGACTAATAAATCAGCTAAGGTGTGAACGCAAGAAGCTCTTTGTTCGGGCGTTAAAGTTTGAAGGACTCTTCCACCTTTTCTTGCATTTTCAGCAACAACTTCTGTTGGAACGGTTCCTCCCAAGTTGGTTTCGGTGAAGAATGTGCCAATTTTACGTCCGCTAAGAATCGTTTTGATTGCTTTTTCTTGCATACCATTGCAGATAACCACGCTAACACCTCTATCTAAAGCCCACGTGGCCGCGTTAACCTTTGAATCCATTCCACCAGTTCCAACTTTTGATTTTTGACCAAATTGAATATTATTTCTCATATCGGATGTGAAAGTGTGGATTAATCTTGCTCCTTCTTCCCATGGTGGTTTATTATAAATACCATCGACGTCAGACATTAAAATTAAGAAATCAGCTTGAACCTCAGCAGCTAACATAGCAGCTAAACTGTCATTGTCTTTAATACTGATTCCTCTCTTTCCGCTTTTTCCTCCAATTGGTTCGTCAACTTGAGGTGGTGGAGATACAGCATCGTTGGTGTTAATAATTGGAACGATGTTTAAGCTGATCAATTCTGAAAGAGTACTAAACAAATTCCTTCTAGTTTCTTCATTATAAAAATCGGGTTTTGTAACCAAAACTTGAGCTATTTTAACACCGTATTGGGAAAACATAGCGTCGTAGAGCGACATAAGTCCAGATTGACCGACCGCCGCTGCAGCTCTTGGTTCCAACATTGTTCCGGCATCCTAGAAAGTTTTAGTAGTAATTATACGGTATTGTAACAATACAAGTGCTCGACTTGTACAATTTAATTAAGCGCCAGAACTTCCTCAGATTTGTTTGACTTAAAAATTAAATTAATTCAGCTTACCTCTCTTGTATGGTCCGTTGGCGATAAAGTTTCTCTCATCGACAAAGACATTAATAATTCTTGCGTTAATTTCTGCTTTCCGAATGCTACAGCACCACTGGTTACCATTATACATTCACGACCTTCGTTTTGACATTCAGCAACCTAATTGAATAATGAAAATAAAAATAAACCTTTATCATTAGGAGAGATAAAATTTATTAGAGTAAGGAACTCCAAATAATTAGCGCGTGAAACCCGCAGAAGTTTATCATCGCGTCTTTCATCGAAAAGTGGAAGTTGGGAACATTTGATGAAAAATCTCCTTAATGCAAGATTATTATTGTGGACTTATGATGCGATTAAATCGTACACATGATGCATATTGAAAAACAATATGTACTTCTTTTGAATACTCATTGTGCAGAAAAAGAGTTAGGTGGAAAAAGTATGATAGATGCAGAGAATAAAACGAAGTAGCAAAGATTTAAGCAAAATTCTCTGCCAAGTATAGTGATAATTTAAGCATGGGGTCCATACGCATATTGCAACTCTATCAATTGTGTTGACAATAAAGGATACTGGTGGGTTTTGTGTAAAGTAGAAGGGGAAGAAAAAAAGTGGATGAAGGCCAAGGCGAACGTGGTATTAGATTAGAATTCAAGAAATGTGAGATGTGCATCGTATCTGGATGATAATAATTAATTAAAGTCTAAAAATTTTCTAAAAATAATAATTAAATCAATTTTAATCAATTAATTTTCCAAAATGAAACTAATACAATGAAACAAACGTTCTTAACACGTCTCTAAAACGTGTTTTCAAACACATCACACATTACTATAAACAAGGTCAAAGGCTTATTTATTTATTCATACACGTGGAGTATAAATTATTGACATTATAAGGTAAAAGTGATTAAAAATCATTAAAAGATATATTTCCACGTGTCTTTTTTTGTTAATTCCTTTTCACTTACTTGTTCAACAATTGAAGCCAATCTTCCAAGAGCAAGTCCATGTTCATCTTCCCTGGTGATAACGGCACTTCCCAATTTAACAACCAACCTTCTCGCATATTTCAATTGGCTTCGATCGGTGAAGGTCGATTGGCGTTTATCCGTGAATTGGAGCGCCCTTTTTTCGTGGTTTTCCTTTAACATAACGGTTGTCGTTGTTAGAGGAAGTTTGAATGTTTTAGTATGTTGAGCGAACATTTATTAAACGAGTTAACACATTGAATGATTGCGTCGTTCGTGGTGAAACGATTTAATATGCAATTTTTACTTGGTTAAGTGGTGGTGGAAATTGCAAGTTGTTGGTTTATAATAATGCAATCAAGTTTTTTTTTCGCGTTTCATTAGGTTGAAATGGTCATGTGTAATTAACGTTTTTTAATTCAATATCAAAGAATAATCTCCAAAATGTGAGGATGTGTTGTCACACTTAACTTGATTGTTATTAATTTTAATTGTTTGTTTATCTCATAATAATTAGTGGTATTATCAAAAAATAAATAATTGTTTGTACTAATCTGCCCTTAAATAATGTATTAATAATGGTATCTTGTTTTTCCTAATCTAACCTTTATTTTATTTATTGATTCTTTCAGTAATGTTGTGGAGTAAGGAATAAGATCGTAGTTTCTGCATCAATTACAGCAGGGTTAAGAAGATTGCCTGATGCATATCCATTTCAACCCAACCCAAATCGATTGCTACCAAAATAGTGTCAGATTCAAATAGAATCTTGAGGAACATTACTGCTACTTAATGAATAAACGTCCGATGGTGTAGTTCTAAGGATGAAATCATTGTCACGGAATATCTTTCTGTTTGTTATTCGTTTGGGTAGGTATTCCTATTCACTGTTAGCATCCTCCACTACATAATCTGTCATTCTGTAGTGCGAAGCAGTTACGCCCAACGCTTTGGGCAAAAAACATCACCAATTTTTTTTTGTAACTTCCAGATTAATTGTAGTTTTATCCTTATTGAATGCGTAACAATTGGAAATAATTAAGTTGTTATTGTTATTAATAATAAATAGAATAAGTAGTAATAAAGTTTTTATAATTTGAGTGATAATTTATAATTGAGTATTTCATAATTCGTAAAAATAAATTTTCCACTTTTTAATTAATAAAATAGGAAGGAATTTTTTTTGTTATCATATTTGAAGGTCAGATATAGTTCCATTTAAGTTATTAACTTGACCATTGACTTTATTTGAACAAAAATAAAAACAAGACAAATCACGAAAGATAAAAATCTGAATCGTTGGAAAGTTTTAATTAAGTAACCTCCTTTTATTAAGATTATTTTGATTGATTCTGGGTTTGATCATTTGAAATTTCGAGTGTTATTGTACCGTTTGAAAAAGAGAGACGATTTTAGACCATTGCAAGTGTTTGTTTCGATAAGGCTTAGATAGCAAAAACAAAAATTCCACGCGGACTTTACATCGTTTACATAACTTGGGCTGTTGTTGATTCAAAATTTGGCATCGAAAGATAAAAACGCACATTTTTTTTGGAGTTTATCCTATTTATATAATAGTCATTTCGTTAGATAACAAAGTGTTGTTTGTTTTCCTTGTAAAAGCGACCTTTAATCGACTCAATCACCTGTTTATAGCATGGACTGGATGACGCATGATCAGAAAACAATGAAGATTTAAAAATAAAATAGGGCGATGATCCGAATCAATCTTTTTTTAATGTATTTTTGATTTGAAGAAATAAAATTGGATTTAGTTTTTTGTGGAAACAAACAAGTTTATCTTTGTTTGGGAGCACGTTTCCGATTTTTTTTAGTATAAACAGACTTTACACTTTGCATCGAATCTGACATCTGACCTTCACCGTTTAAAACAAATCAGTTAAAAATTTTCTTTGTCGGTTTTAATTTTCATGTATCCAGAAATTTATAAATACAACGATTTCTTTCTATATTACTTAGATAAAATTTTACACGTGTGAAATGAATAATAAATAAAAATTGTTGCACGTTATAGATAAGGGGCCGGATGAGTGCAGTTTATACTGCAGCTTATTTATAACATTATTGAGTAACAATTATTTTACAAAAATATATATATAAAATTTCTCTTACTTGTGTTAATTTAGGTAACCAAAGTCCTGAAGTTGTCGAAGCAGCTCTGGCAATTTCAGTAGGTCTCAAGGCAACCACTTGACCTGGAATCCTATAAAACCCGATTCCATTAAAAGCCAATAATCGGCCTGATCTTAAAATTTTCGGTCCCAACATGTTGGCTTCTTGCAGACTGGCTTCTAATCATAAACTGATTTGGTCTTTATGTATTCTTGGTGTAAACTCGATGACGACTGATTGGATGGATTTGGTTGTCGACGACTTGTACACGTGATAACAGACCGTCAATTGCTGATAAAGAGACTTGAATCGAGTTTTGTATTTCGCGTGGATATTTTATTAAGAAATGCATCTCGCTTCTGAAAACGTTGTTTTGAACCCGAGGACTTTGCGACGTGATTTATTATACCCAGGTGATACACGATGTTAAGTTGCAATCTTATCTTGCGATGAATAAAGTTGTTAAAGTTTTGAAATTGGGAAATTAAAAAGAGTGGTAGTAAATTCATCATGGATCAACTCGGGAGGGAAATTTATTTTAATACTCGATGACGGCGAATTTTCGCCGGTATAAATACATTAGCACCCGCCAGTGTTTTAATAAAATTTATTACCCCGAAATGCAATTTAAAGCTGCATACAAAAACAGCAAGTGCAGCATTTCTGTATATATAAGTAATACATTTGTACCACGATAGATTTACAACTTAAGACCCGTTATCTCACCTCCTCCACTCGTTTAGGTTCATTTACTTTCAGATTTAACTTTTCAACGCTTAGAAATTTTCAATAAATTTCATTCTTTAATTACATTTTGAACCCGTAATAAAAATTAGAACGTCTTTTAACAATTTAAAATGCTTAAACAACGGTAATCTTAAAATAGGGGTTTTTTAGTTTTCGCTTCGTACATAAATCACCCCTTAACTCTGAACGTACCTATTTTTTTCTTGTAAATCCTCTCGTTTTTCCTACATTTAATCTTTTTTTTGTGAGAACTGGTTTTCAGAAGAAATTCCCTACTTATATACTCTCAAAATCGAAATATATGAAAAATTGATGTTTTAATCATTACTCAGGAACGAATAATGATGGAACTAAATGTTTTTTATCAAAAGTGTTCTATATTACTCCGGAAAACATGTCTATTCATTGATTTCATCCTATAGATTATGTTATGTAAGTTATTTCCCGCCAAAAACGAAATTTATGAAAACCGAGGTTTTTGCAAATAAATACGTTATGACTCTTAAATAAAAAGAGATGGAGTAAAACTTTGATGCAGAAAATATTGTATAATAACCCAAAAATGAAGTGCTATAAACGATTTCATTCCATCGAATATTTTGTCCAATTTGGATACTGTCAAAATAAAAATATATGCAAATTAATACTCTTAACTATTAAAAATTCCCCTAACGATTTAAATCCTGTAACGATTTTTAGGTTTTCATTTTTTGTACAATATAATTTTTCATTTTTATTATTCACATTTTTCATTTTTTTAACCCATAATAAAAATAAGACCATCACGTTTATACTTCCATTCCTTTTGTCTGGTATGCGTAAATTTCGGTCCAAAACTGGGAGCATTCATACAAAAATAAAGGACTCTCATCTGTGCTGATTAATGGCTAGGTCCGAAAAGTTAAACTCGTGGCTTTTTTTTGCGTTTCGGGATTACTTTGATTTATGGCCTCTGAATCGTCCGGGAATCGAGCATCAGGTTGATGTTTTAACGTTAACTTTCTTCTTTGCTTTTCCTACGTTTTTCGAAGAGTAAAGATCGACGAACGAGTCATCGTCGTCGCCAAATTCCCGGGCGATTGTTCAGGATCAAGCTGCATGCTAAATCATGGTTCTGGACCCTTTCCCCAAAGCTAAAAGCTTTAGGTAATTTCTCCAATTCAACCGGGACAGCCCTTTGGCGTGAGAACAAACGGTGACCATTTGTCTGTTGGCAAAAGGTCCTTGGACGTCATCCTTTGGGAATATGATCTTGGAATAAAACTAAATCTACAAACAAATTTGATGTTACGATCTTTACTTTAAAAGAATCTATTAATTATTTTTTTCTTTGGCCTATTTTTGACCAAATAAATTCAAAACATTGCGAATTCAACTTTTACAGTCTGTCCCGTGTCGTTACAGGTCTAATATATCAAGAAAAATAGCGCCGTTGCCTCCCTGTAGTATTAAATCATAGAAACAGCGAAATATTTCGTACTTTTCCGCCGTTTCACTCCTTTTTGAACAATTTCACGATGTTTTTCGGACGTAAAACGTAAACGTAAATCATGCAAAATGCCTTTTAAGCTCTGAGCTTCTTAATAAAAACGGTATTAGATCCCTTGGGGATGTCGATAAAAAATAAAAAACATTTTATAAAGATTTATTTACTTCGCGGGTGGTGCGTGTAGGCATCGAAGAAAACATGCGTTAATAAACACGTCACGTTTTCGCCAGTACGCATATTGCGTGATTTATCTTTTCCCAAGACGATAATAAAATCCATAAATATTCGAAATGGATATTAAATAAAATTCGGAAAAAAAATTTTAATAAAATTTATACCATTTGTGATCTCCTCAAGATTTATTACTTTTCCTTTATCAATTTTATTTCAGTAAAAGGATCTTTTACGTTATTACTTTGTGTGGATAGTTCGAAACCATCGTCAACGTGTATGTGGAAGATTCCTTCTTGGCGATTAATGAACCGAAAATGAGGTCATCTCCTCGAATTCAACTGGTCAACATCAAGTTGGAAATGAACGTGCTCAACGTAGAAACGGGAATTTGGCAATTTCGTTCCAATTCGGTTAACTCTTAACGGACCAATTTACTAAAGAAGCTTTAATAGTTTATAATAATAGTTTAGATAACCATAAAAATCTATTTTATAATTAAGATAGTAATTTAGAATCAAACATTATTGCACAATTGTGGTGCTTTGAGTATTGTGGGGTTTATTTGCATATTTCCCATTGGTTTTTCTATTATTAGAATGCGGTAATTCGAGTACAACGAAAGCGGAAATAGCGGAGAATACGTTAAACTTTTAAACGAATTAATTACAAACCGGATACAAGTCAAATTAATAGCGGGATTGCACGAATTGGACTGCGCGTAGGTATGTTTCAAGTTCTGCGGTCAAAGTCTGAATAATTCGTGAGCGACAATTACAATGTCGTTGGATCCTGAACTACAAATTGTCATGTACATCCCCTGTACCGTTTGTCATTTCAAGTTACACTTTCAGTTTCAAGAGAGAACCACAGATGCTCCCATTACTCGGTATAACTAATGGACAAACTTTGTCAACTTTGATATCAATTATTAACGTATCACACCGACGCGATGATAGCGACGTTGGTAATTTGAATCCCCTTTAAATTGAAATCGGGACAAAGCCAAAGCTATTCAAGACGGTCTCTAAATTGAAAACTCGGAACCGGACAATTAACAATTCAACGACGCCAACCCCTGAACTCTGTACTCGGACGATTTACATTTATGTAAATATAAGCAACCGCGAGATCGATTTGAATTTTAAATTTGGCAACACTTAACTCCAACTTCCGCAACTTCTACACGAATAGCAGATTTCTTTTCGTGTTTTATTCCAAAATAGTTTTATGTTTATTTTTTATCTTCAATATTCTAGATACTTCATCAAGTAAGTTATTTATTAAAAAAAATTTTCGTATAGATAAACGAGAAATGTATCAAGAATTTATAATAGAAATGAATAATTAGAATCATTATTATCATCTCCTCATCCACATTCACATTTATTTTTCATTTATTAATCCCTTTATTGTCGACAACAAAATTGTTATTAAGGTTGAAGCTGCTCTATTCTATGACAAGAAGATAATTTAATTGCATATGATCACAGAAGAAACACAAAATTCAATTTTAAATTGTCTAATTTAAATAATTTCTGGCTGTTAAACTCAATTAACGTTGATGAATCTTCCTTGAGTAGTTTCTCGAATACAATTTAAACAATATTGGGTTACATATCTGGCATAGATCACAACAAACGCATTTATAGCATGCAGATTACACTGCAAAGACGTGATGTTATACCTAAATATTAATATAATGAAGGAGCGAGTTCAAATATCTTTTGTTAATACAATTTGTAAATTCTACTCTTGTAGCGTGTGGATAGCAGATGATTTGTATGTATACAACTGTCTCGTTAATTGACATAATACACGACGTCCATGATATTAGACCTTTATTGTTTCATGCATGCGACAGTAACAAAATGTATGCAATGATTCAAGAATAAAATTTAACGTGGAGGAAAAGGTGACATATATTATGTGCGTTAAGTTCTAGGTAAATAGAAATCCCAAAAAATTTGAGTATCAATGATTTATTTTAAATGTATTCATCAATACATCAAATACTAATCAAATCAATAATTTGATTACTATATTTATTGTTAGTTAAACTTGATGTTGACCTAATGGATAAATCGCGTGATGAAACCAATTTTTCCCCCCAACATGTCTCCAAACATTCAATTAAAAAATTAGCGTGTATATTATTTGATATATAGCCTAATAATTATTGTGTTACAGTTTTTTCCACTTAATTTTATTCAATTAATAATTAGAGATTAAAACTGAATCCGTAAGGTCATAAAATGCGCTTGCGCCCCTCAACATCCCAGAGAGAGCTTTTTGAGGTTGGTTTCAGCGGAGCGCGCTTTCAGTGTTTGCTTGTTTTCAGCCGGTTTCGGTCGCGAACCGGACCTGGTTTTCAGTACTAGCCGCGATATATCGCGACTCGTAAACTCGTTCATCTTTGGCAGCGGAAAATTGAAATGGTCGGCGTCCAATCTTCAGGATTGCCCCCATGAAAAATTACTAAACTCGCACAAGATGTGAACTTGCTCCAACTTAAACTCGAAACTCACTCCGTTTAAGGTGAGTTGGGATGTTTTTCTTTTTAATTTCTTTTTTTTGATTTTCCGAAACGTCAAATTTGAAGTTGTTTTTGAAATTGATGTATGTAATATGTTAATACATTTCGGTATTGAAATTTTAGTTTGAAATTTCAAACTAGTTTCTTAAAGTTTCTCGTTAAAGTCCGTGTTAAACAGCGCAGTTGAATTTCGTCTTCTCAAACTCGCTAACGCTCGGATTCAATTATTTCCATTCGAGTTCAAATTTGGAGTAGTTCGGAAAATTGTTTACCAGAATTTGTCTCATGTATTGTGTGTTACCTAAGAGCTTTTAACTTCATTACTTTGCTTCTAAGGTACTACTACAATAGCTTACACAGTGATATCAACTGTACAAAAGGATCTTAAGATATTTGATACGTCACACACTCGACATCTAAAGTATCATATATCGTTTATCTTATAAAATTAAATCCTCACTTAGTATCCAGTTAATAATTTGATTGGATCAATTTAAAAAAAAATGTTGTGGTCTATTTTCACGGTAAAACGAAACGAGACTTATTTCCAATTTTTCTTATCTACGTCTATATTTTCCTTGAAGTCAAGCGAAATTGGCCCAATCATTTCGACTTACGTTTGCCTTTTCCACCAAAGGTAAGCAACGTACAGAAATTTCAATTCGTAGCCTACCTCTCTTTGACCAATTTTACCGCAACAGTAAATTTAGTGAAGCCTTTAAAAACACCAAATTGAATTTTAACCTTAAGCATTCACAATATTCATATTCTTTTGATAAAACCTAAAATTTTTATAACGAGTGATAGACGAAGAAGGAAACGTCGTCTTAAAATTTCCACTTTTACGTTTTGTGACGTTTTAAAAATGCGACGTTAAACCGAACATCTTCGCCAATAATGGCTTGTCTTTTTACTAGACGATGCATTACTAAAAATGGCTACTTTCGACGCTGAAATACGACGTTTGTATTCAACTGTCACGTATGCATTAGTTGGAGAGCGTCGCGACGTATTCAATTTTCAGTTACGCGTTCAGTGGTTCCGCAGGACCGGATCTGAGCCATTTATAAACGGACGAAGTGGATTCCATTTCAAGTTATTATAGCCCGGAATAGAGGTTATCTTGTAATAACTGCTCGTAAAGGTAGGTTTCATCGAATATGAAGCAACAGTTAGTTCGATGTTCGAGTTGAAATGGCGATATTAAGGTTATTAAGGTTTGTGTTTCATTTGGGAGAATAAATCGAAAGCACCGCCCTGTAAATTCAAGGCGCGAGCTCGAATAAGTTCAGGTGGAATTAATGAGGAGTTACGTCGCTAGGAAGCGGCTCACGGTTGGACTTAAAGAGATTTATGGACGGACATTAAAGAAAAACTACAACGAGAGGAAGGAAGGAACTTGTGATGATTTCAGTTATTTATAAGAAGTTGAGTGCATGTTGTTTGGAAATTCTCTGTATGGTAATCTTTAACACATCAAGGTTAATTATTTACTTATTTATAAAATCTTAAAATTTAGAATGGAACACTCTGCAATTAACTAACATGAGTTTTGAATTCTTTGCGCCTTTGTGTCAATAACTGAAGCTATGTGTTGTTGTAGTCGATCCGAGATTTCATCCGTTCTTCCTGTTGGTTCTCTTTGGAAAGGGACAGACGTTTCGCCAAGATCTCACCTGGGATCTCGACTTCTGCCGGCAGATTACACAACGCACTGAAGATGCCAGGTGAGATCTTGGCAAAACGTATGTCCCTTTCCAAAGGGAACCAACAGGAAGAACGGATAAAATCTCGGATCGACCACAACAACTCATACTTCTCCATCCGTGGAGTACTACATACTACACATTACCAACTAAAGCTGTTTGTCAATTTTTGGTATTATCTGAAACCAGTGATGGAACAGATAGTGATTTTGCGAAAAGCCCGATACCGGATATTCGGCATCCCCTTCGGCCGGATAGATATGCCGGTTATTTGGTAGCTATCCGTTATCCGGCCGGATTTTAAAAAATGGCCGTATACCGGACAGTTGCCGGATATCCGTTCCACAATATTTCCAGGCGGAGTCTTTTTTGCATCTAGTGACTTGTTTTAGCTTTCTATTTTATTAATTTTATTGTCCACTAACTTTATGAGACACCTTTTGTTTGACTGTACAAGCCATCTGGGGAAACAAAGAATGGGTATCAAAGTATGACAACGATTTTCGCAACGTAAAATTAATTATGTTTAATTGGCGTTAAAATAAGTTGTGTCTACCAACTTTGATGTTGATTTTATCCATTTACAAGAGGCGTATCACGACTCTCTCACTAGTCTCGATGCAATTTGTTGTAGTCGTAATTTGAGCCAAAATAGGGTTTTATTTATTTTTATGAATGCAGTAAAACTTCCTGGGGCGAATTACTCGGGTTGAAAGTTGAGGCAAAAAATTATATAATATTTTCGCTTATATCTCAAATACAACAACTACGTTAAATTGTGGTAAATGTAAAGTTAATTAAAAAATTACTCGTTTTTTTTGCATTTTACGGAGTTTGGTACGCTTGCAGTAAATAAATAAACAAATTAACGAACTGAGTAACATCCCGAGTTGTGTATACATTATTTTTCTAGGAATAACCGAATCTTTAAAAAATACAATATTATTTTGATAAGAAAATAAAATGTAATTTTGCTTTATTTAAATCTGTGGAATTCTTGGAACCATCCCAGCTTTTCCTGCTTTACATATGAATGTTTTCAATTGTTTTGATTCTCGAAATACATTTGTTTCAAGAAAAAAATTATAGATGTTTGGTCGATTTGATCAAATACATCGTAAAGTATGTTTCCATTCGGTTGGCCACGTTGTACTTCGAAACAACCGGCCGATAAATCGAGTCGAGCTTTACTGGAGTTTACACGGTTGCCAGGTCGTTTATTATGAATTTTCCAGTAGATTCGAGGTAACAGTACCCCCGTTACACATCCCCTGCTGGCAGTAAATCGTTGATCGCGCTGAAGAGAGGATTTTAAAAAACCACATAAAATTTTTCTTCTTGCATTTATGCACTTTTATACTTTACTCAAAAACTATTTTTTTTTTTATCATTTCGTGCAAGTTAAACACTATGTTGTGGAATTAACTGCGCCCAGTGGATATGAGAATACGGCGAATATGTTTAAAGATAACAAGCACGAGAGAAGAAAATTGCTACATCAGTGCCTCTTGCACACAATCGGGTGACTATAACTGGTGTAGATAGGATTTTGGGGAAAAGGTATTCCTTAGCTTCAGTGGTAAATGTTTTGTTTCTATGTGAAAATTTCAACAATTAAAACTGAAACGTCAAGTTTCGTTTAAATCTACTAATAAAACACCTGTTTGTAGTGCAAATTGAAAAAATGAACGATTTAAATTTGTCGTCGAATGCAATGAAATCACGTACTAACTCTCGTTACTCGAAAATTTCTATTTTCCTCGTGAAATGGTAACGGGTGAATGCGTTGAAATTAATACTGGGAGTATTGGTACGATTTGGACGGAACCCGGCAATTTAGAGGTACGTGTCACAAAAAACAGCACCGAATCGGGGACTTTTTATAGTTCGTTCCGGATATCTCTATTGGACGAAACCAAAAATCCCGACGCAAGTTACCAAAAGCCGGATAAATTGACTCGTGACTCGAAATGAATTTCGAATTGTACGCTCTGGTAAATTGCCATTATCTCGGTCCAAGTGAATAATATGATCTCGCGCACGTTGAACTTTGTGGAGTTTTGTCAGGAAAGTTCTCGAAACCGTCCCAGGAATTAGTTGGGCTAACGATGTAACGCAATTTTGATGCGCCCTTTGACCTGTGGCTCGATTTGTAGCGAACCACTTGATTAAATTATTTCAACGTATTACGACTTTTAGACGACTAAAATCCTTTTATTACATTTTCTTTGATCTATATAAATTTTATATAAATATTTTAAACAACTAATTATAACTTAAACTAATTTTACTACAATTTAACATACACTTCATGACTATGTTTCATTGTAACACACGCACAGGAGTCATTATTTACATTTTAATCGACCCGTTTCAGTTTCCAAAGTGCTTCACTCGGCAGGTTTGCGTTAATCGAAATGCAATTATTGACATTCTCGGTGAGGACGGAATTTTCCTGGATTGTGCTGCGCTTTATATTTTCAACGTATTGTACTGGAGACGTTATCTCGTCCGAATTTCCGCCAAGGTATTCGAATGCCTAACCTACAGGTTCCAGTGGCACTTAGGAAGCATCACCCTGCGGTTTCTGTGGGCATCAAAGTTTACGTCTTAGAACTGAAATTATCGATTTTTAACGCAAAGTGATTTGACATTTAGGGACTTGTTTAAATTAGTTGAATACTTAAATAAAATAATAATAATATTAAAATTTGTCAGCGGGAAAAAATACAATAACGAATAAATGAATGAGGCTGTATCTAGGGAATAAAGCAATAAGGAAAGGTTTTTTTAGAACCAATATCTCTTTAGCCAAAACAGTGGCTCGAGTATTATAAAGTTATAAATAAAGATATCTTTTCAATATGAATTAGAACCCGAGGCAGCTTTGCTGCCGATGCAATAGCTGGGGTATTGAAAGTAATAAATTAAGGTTTCTTTTTATAACTAATATCCCATTACAAACCGATGCAGCTTTGTTGCCGAGGCTGTAGCTTGAGTGTTACAAAGTTATTAATAAAGCTTTCTTTACAGTAGTAATATATCATTAGAAGCCGAGGCAGCTTTGCTGACGAGGCAATGGCTCGAGTATAATAAAGCAATAAGTAAAGGTTTCTTTTTAGAAACCATATAGCTGCCATATAGATGCCATATAGCGAGTTCAAAAGGTATGCTGCTATTGGTGGTAAAGATTTGGCGGGATACCGCCAGTGTCACTTCTGGTTATTCTGTGCCACTACTCTTACTCCTACTTAGAAGCCGAAGCTGTAATAACGGTTTTATAAAGTAATAAGTAA